GCAAGTACTAAACGAACCCAAGAAATTTGCGGATGGATGAGGCCTGCCCAGTAGGAGAAACAGCTGTGCCTTCACCTGACCCCACCTGGGATTATAATGATTCCATTGACAGGCGATAATGGGAGCACTTCGAGTGCAGTGCGCTAGAAGTCAGGGTGGCAAAGGGCCACCAGTTACTCTAAAGTAATAGCCATCCCCCAGGGACCTGATTAAAGCTTTGTAAACATCTTGGAAGGGTTGAGAGAAGCCCTAATTATGCATACTATTTTAGATTTAGACTCAGGTGAGGGGCAAATCCTACTCAAGGATAAATTCCTCACATTGGCTACAACAGCTACTGTGGGATGCAAGAGGGCTTCTCCCCAGGTTGTCTCCCCCAAATATATGCCCAGCCTAAGACGCTGCTTGCTACACATGGTGAAGGACTGTACACTTGGAGGTCAACTCAAGCCACTTAGAGGTGATTCTCCCTGAGGGTTATCAGCCATCTCGAGCAATCAGACTGTGTAGTCTGTCCCACCCTAAGTAGGGCCCACTCCCTTCTGATACGGATAGTGGATAGTGGATTGCCTCCCCGAAGGAGAGCCCAGAGACAAGGTCGAGCCCATTAAGGATGACCAAGGTTAGGCTGCCGTCTTGAGCCTAGGGTCCACCCATCTTGTCACATGTGTACCCCTAATCCCTCCCCTTCCTGTTACGTGTACACCCCTAGCTCATCCCCTTCCTGTGACTCATATGCCTATTGTACAACCCCTTCCTATGATGTATGTGGTTACCTGTAATCAGGGGGGCTTGCATGCCCCTAAGTATATGTAGGCCTAGGTCAGAAATAAAGACTCACTCCTTCCTCTCCTCCTCACACTCTCTTAGCATGGACCTGGCTGCTAAGATCATGGCCGTCCAGGAGGTGAGCATGCTAACATAAAATGTCGGAGTTATTTATTTTATCTTCTACCTCTCCAATACTCTATGACTACTAGGATCTTTATATATTATAACCACACGATTCTGCCTACGGACCCCCGAGGATTGACAGAGGCTGGTTACTCTAACAAGCTGTCTGAGAAAAGCTTCAGGAGTTTGTTCAGGAGACTGGTAGAGCTACTCTGGACCAGATGGTTACTGCTGTCAATGCTACTTTGTACAATAGAGACAGGGAACAAGAAACTCGGGCCCAAGAGAGGGAGGAAAGAAAGAACGAAGGCATGTCCAGTCCGGGCCACCATAGCTAAAGCATCCATCTACTGCCAACCGAGTTCCAAAGGACACTGAACAGGGCACTTCACCCGGGAAACCCTAACCTTAATTCATGCCATCGTCATTTTAAGGCTGTACCTGTTGTAGTAGGATGCCCAGTCTCTCTCCAAGAGAACCGCTGGTGGTTTCAAACTACTGACTATGCAGATTGCTGCCTAATGCGTAACCACTACACCACCAAGGCTCACTTGGCAAAGGAGTGTCCAAATGAACCTAGGCCTTCATGAAGGCCATGCTATCTCTATAAAGAAACTGGTCCCTGGGTGGTGCTCTGTCCTATGGGAAAGATCCAAGAAGTAAACCATCTGCCAGTGAAGGTGAATGTCCATCCTACAGCTAACCCAAGACCCTTCTCGGACTGCCCAACAAGGAATGGCTGTTACTGGTCTGGAGCCTTGCCTGGGAGAGCGTGGGTGTGGCAAGAAGGCCAGTGAGTTTTGTCCCGGTCAATGGGGCCACCTACTCTCTCCTAACCTCCTTCCCGGGACCCCGGCAGTATCTCAACACTTAGATATAACAGATCCTCTCCGCTGTGCTTTTATACCACAATCCTCAGGGCAAGTAGAGAGAATGAATCAACACGACTGACCGTTAGGAAATGAACATGAGACACCCAAAAGAACTAGAAGGACATGCTCCCAGTAGGTGTCCTCCGTCTCAGAATTGTCCAGAGTCACTTTATACCTGTACGCCCTTATGAGGTTTTATGTGGGCAACCCTTTCCGGTAAGAGTCAGCTGTCAATGCTGAGGTGTCCGGATTACAGCTTGATGCCCTAAGAATAGGCCAATCCCATGGAGCATCTTGTCCTCTCTGGCCTTTTAAATATTCGTTTCTTTCTTACTCATTATTTGTATTTTGTCTCTGTATTATTATGATTTTATCCCTACCTTTTTATTTATTTTATTGTTTCAGTTGGGTTTTCCAGCTTGTGGAGCACAGGAGTAGATGCCTTGGGATAAGCACTGACGCCAGGGTTTGTAGGGGAGGGGGGAGGGGGCAAACAATGGATGTGGGAGAGGGGAGGGAGCACTAGAACTGACGGTGATTCCATAGATCATTTTAAAAGTGATTTAACCATGGGGGTGGTGTTCTAAAATGATTGGGGTAGTGATTGTACAGCTCTTCTTTATATGACTGAATTGTTGAATTGTGTGATATGTGGAATAAGTACCAAAAAAACTGTTAAAAAGATATATATGTGTGTGTGTGTGTGTGTGTGTGTGTGTGTGTGTGTGAGACTAGGCCAATGCCAAGAGAAATTCCATCAATATGGGCTCATTCAGAGCCCAGGGGAATGGAAACTTCCTCCCTTGTGCCTTCCTGAAGAACTAGTTCTTATAAAAACTTGGAGGGACAGTCCCTAAAATTCCAAGTTCCAGCCAGTCTGGAAGGTTCCTTTCCCAGTAACACTATCTGCCCATACTGCTGTTACAGTTCCAGACAAAATGTGTGGGTCTACTGGGCCTGAGGGAAGCTGTGGAAACCATTAGCATCCTCCAAGTCAGACCAAATGGATCCAGATGAATACACATGTGTAACACTGGATGGTCTTAGGATGTTTCATTGGTCTCCTAATGCAGCTAAGTGCGCCTCAAAGGACCCCACCTTAAACCCCAACAGCCTTCGAGCTCATGAATGATACTGCTCAGTTCCTACATTTAAACCTGGTGACTTAGGCTGGATTCTCTAGATGCTTACAGACATCCTTACAGACATTCTCAGATGCTTACAGACATCCTCCCTGAAGGCAGTTAGTCACCAGACTGCAGTAGGCCCCTCTCCCTGCTGTTCAAGGACAATGAACAGGTCCACAGTCATCATCCATTTGGTTCCTGTAGGTGGAGTTCACACCCTACCCATAATGGTCTCTTTCAGTTGAGCCAGAGAACAGGTCAAACCAGCTCTGTGACATCCAAAGATAGGCTGCCATCCTGTATCTAGGATCCGCCCATCTTGCCACATGTATACCCCCAATCCCTCCTCTTCCTATTGCGTGGATACCTAGATCATCCCCTCCCATTACTGCATTACCTATAGCACAACCCCTTCCTGTGACGTATGTCTTCACCTGTAATTAGGGGGCTTGCATGTCCCCAGAGAATATAAAAGCCTTGGTTAGCATTAAATATCGCTCTCTCTCCACGTGGACCACCAAACGGGGCTGAGGTGAGCATGCTCCATGAAATGTGTCTGACTCTCTCTTCTATCTCTCATGCTCTCTATGACTTTATTATAATCTTTACTTATTATCGCTGTATAATTGCGCCTACTGGACCCATGATGATGTGCTAGGGGCTGGCTACCCCCTGCACTAGAGAAGCAAAACCAAGACACTTAAGCATGTATATAAGTGGAGACGTCCGTGTTGTGGAAGGGAATTACAACAGGAAAGCAGCTGTGTGAGGCCGGGTTGACTAGAGAAACAAACCCAGTGACACTCATATATGTGTAAGAGAGTGCTTTATATCAAGAAGTAATTATATATCAAGCAAACATCCCAGCTCAGTCCAGATCAAGCCCATAAGTCTGATACTAGTCCATAAATCCGATACCAGTCCATAAGTCCCTCTTCACACTCATGCAGCCACATGCAATGATGTCAAATGCAAGAAGATCACACAGGCTGGTGGGTGCAAAGTCTTGTGGATCCAGTGGCAGTGGAGGCATCACCGGACTCTGGCAGTGTGAGGAGAGGAGGGTCCCCCACAAATCATCACAGATCTGGTAGGTGCAATTATACGGTGATAATAAGTAAAGATTATAGTAAAGTCATAGAGAGCATGCGAGGTAGAGGAGAGATTGGAATAATGGAGTCAGACACAATTCAAGGTAGCATGCTCACCTCAGCCCCGCTTCGTGGTCCTCATGGGGAGAGCCCTGGGAGCGAGAGCAGGAGAGCCCCCACTTTATTGCTAACCAAGGGTTATATCTCCTTATGGGGCCATGGTTACAGGTCACCACACATCACACGAAGGGCCAGGACAATAGGCATACACATCATAGGAAGGGGATGTATGATAGGCATAAGTGTGACAGGAGGGAGATGAGCTAGGGGTGTACCCATAGGAATGAGAGGGATTAGGGGTATACATGTGACAAGAAGGGCGGACCCTAGATTCATAATGGCGGCCTAACCTTGGTCATCCTTGGGCGGGTTTGACCTCTCTGGTGTCTCCTACAAGGAAACAGACAACTGTTATCCTTATCAGAAGGGAGTGGGCCCTATTTGTTGTGGGATAAACAGTGGTGTCTGCTTGGTCTAGATGGCTGATACCCCTTAGGGAGAATGACCCTGAGCTGCTTCTGACGACCTCCAAGTGTACAGTCATTCGCAAGCAGCTAAGTTTGGCATGTATTTGGGGGAGACAACTTGGGAGAAATCCTTGTTTCCCACAAGCAGTGGCATTTGTTGGCATAGGACCAGAACACCGTCCATGTCTTTCCTCCCTTGAGTTCTAATTTCTATTCCTTCAGCCACTGCACTCTGCTTCCTGGGGCCACCTCAGTTTCCATGGTAACTCAAGCAATACACAGAAAGGACCAGGCTACCTCAGCAATCAGCGCCTTGGTAGCTTTCTCAGTCTTAACAACCCCAACTCTTTCCACTGGAAGAAGAGATGTCCAAATTCCAAAGAAAAGTTTGTGACCTACTAGTATACGTACATCCATAGACAGTTATATAGCAAATAACGCATCTCCTGTGGTTTGGTATTCTTCCTAGCATTCCTATATATATGCAGACTACATATATAGATACAGCTGTTGTTTTGCCCTAGAAGCCAGACAGAGCAGAATACTGTCGAAGAGGTCTGGCTCAGGTGTCTTTGGATGGATTCCAAACACAATATTCCTTTCCAGCCCTGAGAATCGCCAGATACTGTGTAATACGATGTAATCACCTGACAGGTTACTCGCATCTCGGAAGCTCACTACCCTTTGCTTCATCATGGCGCTCAGGAGCTCATGTTTGTAAACTTCCACTTCTCTTGTTGTGCTGACAAGCACAGCAATATCCTTGGGAGAACAGCCTTTTCCAGAGAGACTCTTGCAGATGCCTGCTACTTTGGCCACAACCTCCTCCACACTCAAATGTTCCTCCGTTTTTAAGGTGCCCTCGACAGCCTGAACCCATTCAGCTTCACCCATCATCTTCAGGGACTTATGGGGAACATTAGGGGGAGGATATCGTCTCACTATGTCCATTTTCTTCTGTAGGTAGTTGGCTATTTGTCCCGCATTTCGAACCACTTTGGTGAGCTCTTCCCTGGGAAACTGGGCTTCAAGAGGTGGGAGGCCACTGACATCCATGTGGCTGGTTTGGAAGTAGTCCAGGAAGATCCAGAGAATTCCTGGGCAATCCCTTTTTCTTTGGGTGATTGATTTTGCCTTCTCATACCACGGTCCATCCTTAGTGAGAAAATTCTGAGCTTCATCAATGACGATATGTTGAATCTCTGAGAAGTCTTTCTTCATGAAGGTTTTCCGGGTCACGGATTGGCAGATCATTTGGGTACTGTGAAAATGGAAACGACACACTCAGGTTTCCTCCAATGACAACAATGGTGGTGACAAATGGGCACTTTGTCTTAATGTGATTGACAAATTGAGTTGTATGAGTTAGGAATCATGGGCCAATAAAACGGTTGAAAACTAACTACATAAAAATTGAAATAAAAGAAGAAGAAGAAAAGGCACACATCAGGTACCATAGTGCTTGGCACACACCACCTATCCCACACTAGTTTTACCACGGAGCGTCCGGCTGCTGCAGTCACCCCACTGGGGATGGCAGTGGGGTGAATGCAGATGACACCTCATTTGGTGACAATGTGACCCAACTGCTTACCTCAAATAGCTCCTCAGAGGCTGGTTCTCACAAACATAGAGAATGTTACGTGCTTGACAGCTAAATATATTTCTGATGGTCTCCAGGGCCTTCATGGCCATGACGGTCTTCCCTGATCCTGGCAAGCCGTGCATAAACAGTTCTCTGCTTCTGTGGATGTTTTTTGAAAAGATCTGATACTGTTGGGCTGTGAGCAGATTTAGAACCTCACAGCCCAGTTGGTCACTCAAAACAGATCAGAAGCCAAGCAAAATGATCACGAGGGATTGTAGAAAGTCTTCCATTTGCTGGGTGTCCGCGAGAGTGTAGGACTCGGGGTACTCTAGCCGAGAGCCCAGGCCTCCCAGGGGCTCTTCAGTGCTCTCAGGACTCAGGTAGAGGACCTTGGTCATGACACACGCTCTCCATGTGTAGCCACCGATGCTCACCAGCTTATTTTTTAAGGTGAAGGCAGCCCGGTTGGAGTAGTCGTGCCCTGTGGCCTCCTGCTCTCTGAGAATGGTGTAGAGCACAGGGCAGCTGTCCTTGAGCTACCAGCAGAGCATCACAGATGACTCCCTGCTTCTTGGGCAAGTTCAGATCTACAGCCCAGCTTCTCGAAAGGATCACAATTCCCCGGGAGAAACGTTGCATTTCTTCCTTTATCAACTCTTGCAGTCCCTGGTTTTGTGAGCACAGATCCTGCCAGAGGTATTCTGGGGTATAGTGTAAATGGTCTGATGGCACTAGAAAGAATGGGGAATTGGGGGAGAAATCATTATTGTTTTGAGTAACTTAGAGATCCTTTGAAGCGATTCTTTTGTAACTATGATTACAATTCCAATAGAGCATATCATATACCCAATCCAGGAGCTTATTCTGTGGATGACCTGGAGAAATTCCTTAACCTCTTTACCCCCCAATTTGCTCACAGGTAAAATAAGATTATTAAGAGCGCTTTTCTAAGGTGAAGAGCTGAGGAAATGCAACGCAGGGGGCTGGCTTATTGTAGCTGCGGCTTGAGAAACGTTAGCTCTCGTCTCCTCCTTACTCTCAAAGTAGTGGAATCTCAAAGCGTCCCTGAATCATTCCCATTCATGCCATCTTTGGAGAGAAGATTAAGGCACCTAGAGCCTTTAATTGGCAGGGAAGACCCTTGGGGTTAGTTCTTGCATCAGTTGCTGTGAGAACAATGTGTTATCTTGGTCAAGTTTTCAATTATGGTTACTCCTGCTTAAAAAAAATAGAAAGAAAATTAAAAGTGGGTATATTCTTTCTTTTTCTGTGGCTCTAGAATCATTTGAATAGTGCCTACTAACCTGTTCTTCAAACTTTGGTAGCCTTACTTAAAAACAGGGTGGTTTTCTCTGTCAAAACAGCTGGAATAGAAGGTTTTCAGAAAAAGAAAAACAAACTTTTGTGGCTAGCGCAGAGCTTTCCGGAGACCTGTTAACTTCAGGAAGGGGAAATACCTGCGTGCAGCTTTCTTAGTTGCCTGGAAAAGGATGGACCGACCTGAGACTCTGCTAACTTGGCTGCGTGAACAGAAGCGGCACTGCTCCCTTGGGTCTCACTGCCTTCATCCTCTCTCCGTCAGCCTGACTCCTCCAGGCCAGACACTGTCGTGTCCTTCAGAAACGCGCGCGCGGTCTATACTGTGCAGATGATGGTGCATCAGTCAATGCTGTGCGTGTGGATTATAAGATGGAGAGGAGGGTCACGTGTTCCCAGAGACATTTTGCATGCTCTTCTGTTCCCTTTGCAGAAACCTAATTCTTTCAACTCTGTTGCCA